TGTACTCACCTTGCTTGCACTGTCTTTTTCGCTGCACTTGCCTTGCCCTCTCTGTCTGTTGTTGTACTGGCCCTTACTTGTCTATCTTTGCGGATTCCTGGAAATCCTCTGCACTCTTTTTGGTTTTCCTTTGCCGCTGCTTTGATCTTCTGCCCCTGCCCTCGCCGCATCTTCTGGTGATCCCACCCACTTTTCTGCTGTAAGCCTGTTTTCTTTGTCGGTGGGTGACGCTGTGGTGACGATGGTGTATACAAAGCTTGCGGGTTTATCCCTGCGTTCCTGCTGCTGAACCGATAACCCTGACCCAAAGCGAAGATGTTGCATGCGGGTTATCCCCGCGAGCATACGGAGAAGAGGCTGATCCCCCGGCAAGACATCGGGTTGGTGCTGGCGGGTGTATCCCTGCCTTACCGCGAGAGACCAGGCACACACACGTAGACCCCTTGCGCAGCCATGGCTCTCGGTGTCTCTGTAACTGCGGCACACAAGCCGACGGCTGAGGAAACCGCTTTAGGTTCCTGGCCAGCCAGATGAGCCTACTACTGAGGAGCAGGAGGTGGCCTACACAGAGGCTATGCACTGATTGCGCTGGCTGGTTGGTTTGCTGCTATGACGATCCTCTACCTGGAACAGTGCTGAGGATGCCGGTATACGCGCTTCTGGTGTGAAGGCGTGTGCATCTTGACGATCCCTTGTGGCTCCACAAACAGCACAAAGGCATGAAATGAGCCCGGGAACTTTGAGGTCCCTGGCCTGCCAGATGAGCCTGCCACTGAGAAACAGGACGTGGATTACGCAGGGGCTACGAACAGGCTGCCCTGGTCGTTTTGCATTGCTGTCACGGCGATCCTCTCCCTGGAGGAGTGCTGAGGAAACGGGGATCTGCTATGCTGGCATGAAGGCGTATGCATCAGATGATCTCTCGCTACTCCAAAAGCAGCATGCAAGACATGAAATGGGCTCGCAGCAGGTGCTAGGGAATATGACGGGTGAGCAGAAGTCCGGAGATTGCAAACGACTGTGGGCTGCATCAAGTCCAAACGCGATGCTGGCTTGGCGGTTGGCGAAGCGAAGCTGGCGGTTCGTGTGAGAGATGAAGGACTGCTGCCCTACGCTGTCACGTGTGACATGCCGGGCCCCCTACTTTTGGGCGAAAGAGCAGGGATGCCTGGCGCTGAGGGTCAGCGCCCAGTTCTGGAGGAAGATGCAAGGTTCGTGCAACCGGTGGTGATGCCATACACTGTCGCGCGTGGCTTGCTGGACCCCCTGCCTGGGACAAGGAGCAGGGATGCTCGGTGCCTGGGAGTGAGAGTCAGTTTCCGGAGGCTGCTAATGAGGTCCCTGTGGCACTTGGCGCAATGTCTGGACTGCAGGATGCTGGAGGGGAAGATGTAGGGAAGCCTTGCGTGCGTGGTGCAGTGAGTGAGTGCGGTAGAGTGCTGTCGTGGAAGCTTTCGGATGTGCTGAATAGGATTGCTGGATGTCCCTACGTTGGGGTAGGGTTTCAGGGCCAATGTGCTTTGGAGGGATGTGCAGTTGAGGCGCCAATGTGCTTCGATTGGAGTTGAGTGGTGTACTGAAGCCTCGCCTGCTTGTCGAGTGTGAGTGCTAAAAAAATATATATATATATACATATATATATATATACTCATACTACATATAGATAGATAGATAGATTCTAGATATATACATAGATAGATAGATAGATAGATAGATAGATAGATAGATGGATATAGTTTTTGCCCCCAGGTCGAGGGCAATGGACTGGAACGCAGCGTGGGTGGAGAAGATAGCCTCTCCGGTGGCAGCTGGCAGGACAACTCTACCAAGATAGACTTATGCAGTATTCGCGAAGGCTCTGGGAGCAGAATTGAATCCTGAAAAAGTGGGTGCGTTTCTACAGAAACTTAGGAAACCCAACGACGCTTTGCCGCATTCATGCCTTGATGTTCTTGGCGGGTGTCTCCCAGTTCCCCAGAGTCGGACATGTGACGATGCTGTGACATGTTCTGACATGTGTCTGATACCCGCATGTTCCCAGGTGGCCCATACCTGCTGAACCACCTTACGGGTGAGCAGGCGAAAGCTGAGCTACCTTCAGCCTGATCCGGACATGGAAGAATCATTCCGCCGCTTTCAGCCAGGGCTTCCAAGCTGACCTGATGAAAGCGCCCGCCGGCCCTCCGGCCGCTGCTCCTGCACACGCCGCGCCGGATGCAGGACATCCAACATGCGATCCATTAATTTGCCTTGCCAATCCCTGCCAGCGTTTCTTGGTAGCCAGGCTATTCCCGTCCTCCAGCTCCGACGCCGAGCCCAGTCGCGCAGCCCCTGCCGCAGTCACTGCCCTGATTGGGGTGCTGGGGTGTCCGGTTTTCCGTGGGAACGCTTGGGTCTGACAGCCGAGCAGGCCTTGTGCAGCCCCCACGCCCGCAACGAGTTGCGACATGGACTTCATTCTTTGGCAGTCGCCTGGCTTTCAGCACAGCACAGGCAGTCGAGATGTAGAGCTAAAGCCTAGCACAAAGCCTAGCAAGAGCGAACACGGGCACATGCTAACGACACTCTTGCAAAGCACTTACATTCGTGTCGGCTGTTGCGCAACTCCCCAGGATCGTCCGAGCATCGTTGCCCCAAGGTGCCAGGTGCGGGATGCCGCTGAACGATTGGAAGCAGCGCTGGAAGAACGTGGGAGCCATTGTGTCGGGTTCTGCTAGTTGGACAGTGCTACATGGGGCCTTGCGAGACTTTTGCGACGTTATGGGTAAAGGGTCTCATCGGCTCCCCCTGAACCATCAGGTCCTGAAGATGACATGTGGAATGATCCAGCCGTCGAGTGTGCGATCTGTCAGAAGGGCATCGACAGCGCCAAAGGCTCTGTCAAGGACGCCTGAGTGTGGATGCCTGAGGGGGTAGGCCTTGGCCATTGGCTTGAGCAGCGAGGAGCATCTCATGTCCTGGGAGCATTTCCAGCAGCTAAAGGCTGGGTGCTTGGTGTTCGTTGGCCCGCACAGCCCCAACAAGGCAGGCTATTAAACTCTCAAGCTGTCGGTTTAGCTGAGGGAAAGCTGCACCAGGAGCTCACGAGGCTTCGCGCAAGTTTCTTCGATTTCGTTTGCTTTTGGGACGTTTTGGCTTGGCCATCGCTGGCCTTGTCTCGCAAGAGAAGGGAAGTTCTTGCTACCGTGCGGAGTGTGAGTAGGAAGCTGTAGCACGCACGGGTTCCGCAGGCTGCAGCGAAGGGGTGCCGCTCCTGAGCATGACCTGCTGACAGGTTGGGTTCCATGGAGGCGGTGATGCAGCAGAGGCACAAATTTTGCCAGAACTTCGATGTAGCTGCAGTGAGCTCAGCATATGGACATCCATCCAAAAACCAGGAGACGTGTGATTGAATGCTTTGCAGCTGATGCATGCCATGTTCCACTAGCCCTGACCACATCTGCTTCCTGGCAGCGGCAGCATACAAGGGCAGCTTCCCTTTCTGCTCATGACTTCGATTCTTCCTGTTTGCTGCTTGTAGCCCCGTCGTCAATGTAACTTCCTCGTGAGCTGTGTCGCTGCAGTGCCTCGATGGGCAAACAGTAAGGCCTTCCAGCACCTCAAGCCGGAAGTGATCTACCAGTGAGCGCTTGACGCAGAAGCGAGGGTGTGGCAGCTTCACTTGAGATGCACCCCTCGTGGAGGATGCTCGTTGGCAGGTCTGTGCAGGCTGAAAGAGCGATTACATAAGGCATGATTAGTCGCGGTCATAGTGCTGGAAAGTGGTCAGGATGCTGGTGTGCTGGAAAGTTATAAGGATGCCGGAAATCAACCATGCAGGCTCGAGGCCCCGTCAGGCAGGCCGGAGGCTGTGTTGGAAGAACAAGGACGAGGAGGCGGATTACGATGCCACCGACACGAACATGGCCGCGGCGCATCGACGACGACGACGACGACGACGATGATGTGTTCTCGATCGCCATAACGTGTAGTGCCTCGGTTTAGCGTCGTCGTCATTAGTGCTACCATATGCGCCGCTGTTGACACTACCGGGGCAATTAGGCGTGATGGCAGCAGCAGTGCAAGAACAGAGGAAGGGGAACGAAAAACAGCAGGGCAATGACCCAAGACTCCGTGACCACAACAACAGCAGACGAGTACAGCCGCTACTATCTCATGCGACCAAATGTCATGAATTCTAGATTGTGTGGCATAAGAAAATGCAATTTGAACATACAGCCCGCATCCACGTGCCGACGTACACTGTATCGGCAGCGCCCGCACAGACTTGCCTTCGAGGTCCACGAGACTCGTTGAATCTCCGGCCGCTTCCGGTAGCAGAAGTCTTCCTTGCCGGAGTCGATTACGTAAGAACATGTAAGAACCAACAGCGTGCCTTGTGTTGCTGTCTGAGGAACTGTGGATCAGTTGCGAGTCCTCGAGCCTAGAACCATATGTAAAAAACTCGACCGTCTGCAGCAGCGCGATAGCCCAGAATGAGGCATGTGATTATGATTGGTGCAGTGTGCGACGGCTGCGGTCTTCGTGCATGCGTTGCTAGACCGGGGCCGGCTACTGCACCTGCTTTAAATTTTAGTCTTAGACCGTCTTGACCTCCATGTTCCATCAACAAGGCGAAGCTGTGTGCAAGTCTTGGTTGATGTGGAGCATGACGACTTGAGGTAAGCTCGGGCTTCGTTGCGAAAACCTGCCAAGCGATGCGAGTGCCGACATGCTTGTCGCTGCTTTTCCGTGTGTCTTCAATGCAGAGTCTGGACCTGGGATGGCGACCGCCTTTGGCTCAAATGTAGGGGTGGATGCAAAGCTTCCAACCTGGGAGTCTGGAGAAATGACATAGCTTGGGCCTGAGATTCTGTCGCCAGAGACCCCACTCCAACGTTGCAGATGAGTTGAATTTGCCTGGGCAGGCTCCAGATTCGGACCCGACGCAAAGGCCCCCGATGGTCTCGAATGCAAGTCGAACATGTCGCTGGGACCCTTGTGCCAGGACAGCCCGTGTCATGACGAACCTGAACAGCCGATCAGGCATCCGCTTGTGTTGTTCCGGTGCATGAGCAGTGCGCCAGCCAAGTAAGATCTTTCACAGTGTCGGGAGACCGGCTTGGCTGCAAGTCGGTTGGAACAGGAAAGATAGCTTCCATGAAACTCTGATACCACCAGGTCTGGGAAATTCGGCTGCCAGTGCAGCTGTAGCAGTTGCGGCAATGGCCGCTGCCGCTCCTTGGATGCATGACAACTGCTTTAAAAGCAGGAAAATATCGCATCTGCACATCTTCTGGGTTGAGTGTAGACAAACTATATGACTATATCTATTACAAGACGCATGAATGGGTGCCACACATGTGTGAGTATTTGTGTTTGTATTCATGCGATGTGCAAGAACCAGGCCTGTGCTCGTGTAATGCATGTTCGTGAGGAAGGCATGTGCAAGTCTTCAATGTCTGTCTGCTTGCCTGCCTGTATGATGCGTGCGTGCGTGCATGCGTGTGTGAGAAATGCAACTGCGTAGGGACGCGCGCGCAGACATGTCTCACATTTTCGCGGATACATCATGATACATCAATATCGTGAATTGGAATTTGGACCAAAAGGTGGTTTACTCTCTAGCCGAGGCCTTGGCCGCGGCTGGCGCTGCTGCGGCTGCAGGGCTCGCAGTGCTGCTTGCAACGAGTGCCGCCGTGGTGACGGGCAGCGCCAGGCCGGACTGAGGCAATAGTATATATTATACTTCATTATTATAGTATATGATAGCAGATTATAGTATATTACAGTATATTATAGCATATTATAGTATATTATATCTGCCACTTCATTGCAGCAGTAGCAGAAGCAAAACAACGAGGTCATGTCAGTTTCACTACAATACTATGCATGTGCTTCGAAATAGTCGGACGCAGCCGTGTTGGCATGCACTCATTGAACGTGGGGAGGTGGCGCTGAAATCGAATGACATAGTATGCACTCACCAGACCGGGGTGGGAATTATCACTTGCAGTCGGAAAAGCTGTCCCGGCCCACCCCCACAACAAAACATAACAAAACCAAATAGCCTTACATTACACCGCATGAGAATGCTCGGCAAACCAAGAATGCTTGGTATTCCGTATAGCCGGCCATGAAAATACACATATGCATATGCATACAACAGGCATACTCATACCCAACAGCATGCCGCGCGCACACACACATGCATAGGTATGTACACGTGCACACGTGCACTAGAAGTACAGCCATATCATAGAATCAGAGCAGTAGTGAGACGATGTTTTCAACGATCCCAATCAGCGCCTTCTGAGGGCTGCCGCGACCTCGGAGAGCTCGCGGCCGGCGGAGCCATGTTGGGCTTTCTGTGAGGATGAGGACAGATGCATATATATATATATATGTATTGTTTCTTCGTATACATATATGTATATAAATGTATAATCATGTGTATATGTATGTATGTATGTATGTATGTATGTATGTATGTATGTATGTATGTATGTATTCATGTCATGTCATGTCATGTCATGTATGTACATCTACATATCATATACACACGCGCATATATACATATGTATATGCATATATATATATATAGAAGCTTCCAAGCTGTAGAACGTCGCATGGTGTTTCTGGGCATCATTCTCGGGGCTTGTCGCAAAGGCTGCACGCGGTGTTGTGCTATTTGGGTTTCAGTCATGCTGCTCTGACACACGGGCCGTGGGTCACTTTGCCTTCATAGCTGCCTGAGTCCCAACACGGTCTGGCGTGAACTGTGATGGGCCCGAGCTTTTCTCTTGGCAGTGCCCGCTGCAGCTTTCGGGTGCAGGACAAGTTGAGCACTAGCTTTGCTACTGTCTTGCCCACAGGCCGACACGGGATGGGATGTCGGATGTTGTGGGATGCGAAAGCTTTTTCGATGTCTACACATCCTTCTGTTGTTCAGGCTCTCACCACGTGGAGCTGGATGACTTACCTTCCACGCTTATCCCGTATTCCGACGAGCCAACCAAGGCCGAATGCCTGGTCGTCTATTTGCCAATGCATTATTTTCGCGTTTCTTGCGGTCGCAGGTGCGCAAAGTACGGTTCAATCTCACTTTGTGTCTCGGATGCAGCAAACCGGCCCAGGCCCTGCATTGCGACATGAAAATCTCGCCGACTTCATCCCTGAATGCCTTGGTGGGTCTCGCATGTGTCCGATGAGTCACCTCAGGACCACGGTACATGAAGTCACTCCCTACTCTGAAGTCTACGGCATGCACCCGCTCCTGTGCAGCAAGTTTGCGGGAGAGCGGTTCTGTGTGCGCACAGCATTGTGCCGTCTGGGGAGGCGGTTGCTGAAAGTTCAACCGGGCGAATTCTACTTGCAGCCAGCCCCTCGACGAGATGATCGCAGTGACAGCGAAGAGGAGGAGACTCTAAATGATGGCTTGATCTGCGCGAAGCATCGGCTTGCCGGCATTTGTACCTTGCTGCGACATTTCTGTACCGATCTTGGGCCACAGTTTCATGTCAAAGCAGATCAGGTTAGTGCGCAATCCAGTCATGCAAGGCAGGAAGCATGTGGACTTGCATTGAGCTCCAGCTGGTCCATCAGATCTTGGAAAACAATAACATTGGTATCCTTGACATGATGTCCCAGCAAAGACACCCTAGGAGACGGAACTATAGGCACGCATGCATATCGGCATGGCCGTGTGCTGCCATGGGTCGCCATGCGTGCAACGCATGGTGCATGTGATGCGCTCTTTGTCGCTGTGGAGGGAGGTCTCAGCTATGAGGTTTTTCTGCTAGGCCTCGCTGATGGTCTGACCGGACTGGAGCCTGACGTCCTCGGCCGCCACGTCGTTCCAGCAGAGGCGCTGCTGCGAGTGTTGCCGAGACTGCGCGAGTTTTTGGCACCCCGTTTTCTCATCCGGGCCACGAGTGTCCAGCAGCGGCTGCGAAGTCAAGGGCTCCCCGCCTGCCAGTGCTCAGCTCATGTCTGGTCCGGCTTGCTGGATCGCTTGAAGCTCAAGCTTGCACCCCGAGAAGAGGTGCAGGGCAAAGTCCGAGACTTGCAAAGGCGCTTCATTAAACTGGCGAAGACTCGAGAAGCGACCCCCCATCCCTCGGCAGATGCATCACTTATAGCTGCAGAGATTGGGAGTTTGCTTGATGCGCTTGCTCTTCGAGCTCCAGCAAAGCCGAAGGGCCCGAACGCCCTATCAACGCTGGCGAAGAGTGATTGGGAAGTGGAGGATTTGAGGCGTATTGCTGCGAACCCGGGCTTTGGACTCCAGGCCTTGTCCAATGGGATCAAGGTCATCGCAGGTCTGCAGCAGCTACTCAGAGCTCGCTACCCCAGCGGCCCAAGCCCCGGGTCGGAGTTGTCGGCAGCGGAGGCAGAGGAGCTCCTGCTCTGCGCCTTTCGAAGCGAATCGCCAGGCTCTGGCCTTGCCGATTCACCGAAGGCCTTTGACACCCCATCCATCCCCTCTCCGACGGCAACTTCAACTGGGTCTTGTGTGCCATGCTCGGAAATTCATCTACAGGGGCCTCAGGCAACCAGTCGTTTCCAAGACACCAGATTAAACCAAGCTGCTTCCTGTGTGCAGAGCGACTTGCTCCGGACATCCGCGTCGAATGGAAGGCTTCCCATGCCCGTGCGCTCAGAGAGGGTGCCTGCAGATGAGCTGGAGCTTGCAGGGAGCTCGCGAAAGCCAGTCCCAGAGGTTCTGCAGAGCAAGCTGCAACCGCCAAGCTCCTGGCAAAGTATCTTATCCGGAAGGGTGTCGAGGTGGTCAAACGGAGCAAGTAGCTGCAGCACAAGTCCAGGCAGCCTTGCAAGCTTGAGACGTCGAGGCAGTGAACCGCCTGGGCGGAAGTCGGACAGTTTCCTGGCAACTCCAAGGGTCTCGACGGGTGCTGCGCGCAGGGCCTCGGGCTCATACTTTGACCGAATGCGTGCACGGGCAATGGCTCGTGTGGCCTCGAAATCGCCAGATCCCAGTGTCACGGAGGCGGTAAGGCGAGCCCAGAGCCGAGCCAAGAGGGCCCAGCAGCAGCAGGCTCAAAAAGATGCGGCGGACGCCAAGGCCCGCACAGGTCCAACGGGCGAGCTGCTTGCACCTGCAACGGCCAGCTTATTCAAGCGCAGAGACGAGCGACTCCAGCGCTTTGCTCAGAGGCAGGAGAACGTGACGGCAAGCGAGATGAGCGAGCTTGCGACAATCGAGTCTCCACAGCCGCTGCCGTCTCCTGAACCGTGTCCCTAATTCAAGACGAGATCCAGAGTCTGCAAACAGTTTCACTAATTAACCGGCTGGGCCTTGTTTATGTTTCACTCGGTAAGAGTGCACGTGCTACATACATTAGGCCAGCCTCGGGGAAACAGGTCCAACCTGGAACTTATGTGCAAAGGGCATGGAGCGCGTCTTTGAGCTGGAAGCATCGCAGGACGGCTTTCCCGATAGCCGCTTGCTTGCACTTGGTGGAGGCCTGGCTGCGCCGATTCCGAAAACCTTTGACGATATAAATGATATAGACTTAAGTTCGATAAGTGCGTTTCAGGACCACTGTCCTGATTATAGATCCACGCACGTGGAGGAAACCGCAGACATCCGCAGACCCTCTTCTAGGGGTTATGACGGTAACACAAGTCTGTATGTGACTGTAGCGGCTGTAGCGCGCATACAGATCCACGGCATTGCTGCCAGGTATGCAGAGTTATCCACAAATGACTCGCCAGTTCCTGCTGAGAGCGCTGCCAAAGGAGCGGTTTTGTCTGAGCGACATGCCGTCCTTACGTTTGTGAATAACTGCTTACATGCAACGTACTGTCTGGTCGGAAGGCATGGTGGAAGCTCTGGCCACTTTTGTTTGCCGCATTTTGGCTTCGTGCCTTCGGTGTCAAGACGGTGCTGGATGCCCGGCTGCATTTGTCAGTCCGGGTTTGTCAATTCAGGCTGGCTTTCCAAGCCAGGTGGCATTCGGGGTCCGTTCGAGTCTGTCCTTGACCCCTTGATGCAGCCACCACGAGGGACATCACTGAGAGGACATTCTTCGTTGCAGCTTGTGGCTCAGCCCCACCCTGTCATGTACATAGCTTGATTTCGATGCGCCGACTTCTCAGACATGTTCGTGCCACCTCCACCGAAAGTGGTGCCTCCTATGCCCGTGGTGGCCCCGTACGTCTCAGACGCAGACCAGCGGAAGAAGCTGTGGAAACTGGGTATGCAACACCACTTGAGGGCGTTGGAAGGCTCGGTTTGCCAAAGCCAATCAGCTCCTTCTTGACGGCACCACACTTTCTGTTTCTCCGGTGGCAGGTGTCACGAAGGTGACAGACCAGTCCGATCCAGGTGCCGCAGACGCGGGTGTGCGCAAAGCTCGAGAGAAAGCCCGAGACTTCCAGAAGCACGAGACCAGGAGCGCGTTTATGAACATATGATATGTATGTGTATATATATATATATATATCATCCACCAAATATCCAATACAAAATATCATTCATATATCATAATATATATATATATATAGAAATATGTGTGTATTCATAGATCACAGGTAGTGCCCAATTGTGTGTGTGTGTGTGCGTACATCCTGTCCTACGGTCCATCAGAAGCCTCGGTCTGTTTAGCGCCGGCGCAGGCGAGACATTGATGCCGGAAACCGCCATCTGGTGCATCGCTTGAAGGACCCCCGGCCTTGGTGATCTTCGTTCAGTTTAATGTGACTTCAATCATGATTCGCCTTCCCATGCTGGCAGGAGATCGTGCAGAAGCCCAGCGTGATCTCAAAGGTGTCAGACGGGGCGACCCGCCATTCCGGAACTCGCCGGGAGATGCTACAGCGCGATCGGCAACTACGTCAGAAAAATATCGAAGCCGAGAACCACTCTTTGGTGCGACGGCTTCTCGCTGTTAAAAGCAGCCTGGATTCGCAAAGCTTCGAGAAAGACTACCGCAGGCTCGCTCCGGCTTTGGGGTCTGGTTGGGGGCCTTGATTTTAAGGAATTGACTCGGACTCTCTGACCACCGCAGCAAAGCTCTGCCTAAACTTGGGCTCGGCAATAGGAACGGCTGAAATCTGAAGCGGTGGAGTTTTGGCATCTGTCTGCACGTGAATTCAGAGACTATGTGCTCGGACTCGATATGGTTGACGAAGGCCTTGCGAACTGCACCGGTCTGCACTGCATGTTCAGGCACCGGCAGGATGTCGGCCGGCTCCAGCAGCTTCCGGAGAAGAACCCCAAGCCGAGGAAATTGCCGAAGCTGCCGGAGAAGGTGCCTTGGAGCAGTGTGCGATCCCGACTGTCGTCAGCCGGTGGCTGGGCCATTGAACCCTGTATCTCGAAGTGCTAGACCCTAGTTTAATCTTGAATAATCAGTGTTCACTTGGGCTGTTGTTCAGGTGCTTCCGGAGCTGCCCAAGGAAGAGTACTCGCCGAAGAGTTCTTGCACTGGGTACAGGCCAGCGACACGGATTGAATGACTACTTAAGAAACTGGTATATGCAGGCAGGGAGGCCTTTTCGGGGTCGCTCAGCAACTGAAAGAATCCGCATCACCAACGCCACATGCATGATGGATTGGTTCAGAAGGCTTCGCCTCTTGACTTCGCCATGTCTCAAGATCCCATCTCGTCGCATGTTATGTTCGAAGGCTTGACGTGACCTTCTTAATTACTTTGGCGTTTGTGAGCCTTCGGCCTTCGGCTTTGCCGCTCGATCCAGTTTGACAGGCCCGCGCGCCAAGCGCTGCCGCTGCCTCCGCGACCTGCCCGGATTGAATAGTAAAGTCGTGCTGCTGCGAAACCTACGACCCGGTGGATAGACTCAAACTCAGGGGTCATGGTTCGATGCAAGTAGAGGCCTAATAGCACTTAAAGGGCGTTGCTAATGTCACGTTGGGGTTATGTGCGCCAGGCTTGTGTATGAATCAAAGCTTGTGAGTCATGTAAACTCACTACATAACACACTAGACCGAATGCCACAATATCTCGTACATGTTTCACTAATCACAATCGTGCGCTAAAGCTGTTGCCATCTACTGCCGCTGGTGCTCTAGGTAAGTAAGGGTGTGAGTTCCCGCGTATGACAAATCCACACTGCGGTGCCGAAGGTGCGGTTACATGCAGGCAAGACCAATTTTACGCACATGCTTACATGCCCAGACCATCACTGACAAGCACACTTTCAATCTCTATTCAACGCAAACAGTCTTGCACAACTCACTGTTCGCATGTAGTCCATATACGTCCTATAAAGATGATGCTGTGGATCCGGTCATGTTGAAAACTCCGGATTGGCTGACCACCTCGAAAATAATCCACCAATAATGGCCCACCGCAGCTTCGTTCTCCTCAGCCTCCCCCACCTGAAACGTCCGAGTGGTTAGAGTGAACCTGACCAGTTATGTCGTGCAGTTGAACTAAGGCGCATGTCCGAAAGCCGATCTATGCCGAGCCTCTCCGCCGAGGTGCTACTAGTAGGGTCTCGAGTTCAGCGAGGGGAGACATTGGAGAAAGAAGGCCCGAACTTTCGGAAAGACGTTTGTGCTCTGGCGAGGCCCCTCCGGCAGAAGTTGCGCGGAGAAGAGCCAAGCCTGAAAAGCCTCAGGCGCAGGCTCGGCGGAGGGGGACATGCCAAGCATTCCTGAGACATATCACGACACTGACATCAACAGCTGCTGTGAGAAGGAGTCAGAGCCCCCGCGGCTTGCAGAGAACAAGAATCCGCGGGCACAACTGGAGGCTGGTCGGATGGCATCTAGCTGCTGATAATTGTGCGTAAGCGCGACCATCATCAGCATACGTATCAAAGCACCAGATCGCACCAGCACAGTTTGACCAGTAGACCGCACTTAGACATCACAATAGTGGCTGGTACGAATAACGCAGACTTACCAGATACAGGCATGCTTCCGGCTACAGTCTCCTGACGGCAAATGTAATCCGACAAATGTCTGAGAATCTATCTAGAAGTCGGAGTGTGTTGACAGTTGATGAGCTAGTGAGATGAGCTAATTAAGTGCTGAAAGGAGACAACTATCAGGACCTTGGAAAACAAGTCGAAGCCTACCACAAAAGCCGACAACGCGGAGATTTTGCAGCATGCAAACAGGAGTACTACTTTGAAAGCAACTTGTGGTGCGTGTCGGCGAAACCGCTGCTTCTGGTCGCAAGAGAGGAATGCTCAGAACCCACTTATCAGCAAGTATGTAGCAGTAGCCTAGCGTTGACCATCGCAGAAACAGCGGCGCGTAAGGAGAGACACCGTGGCACTGACATCGATCCTGCGTGCTACTGATACCTGCAATGCAACGATGACGCCTGGACTTGCCGGTCCTAAACCCTCAAGCCATAAGCCATAAGCGATAAACTCGAGACCTGCACCAAAGCCTATGCGAGTCGAAAGCTCGAGGAGAAGACTGCACCTGTCGCGGCAGTTGAGCCACCGAGTGAGGCAAGGCATGGCAAGGCCAGATCCATTTTTTACGAAGCATCCCAGCATCCCCCTCGTCCAGTAAGGCTAGGATTGACATCGGCTGGGATGCCCCCCATCCACCGAATCGGGAAGATCGGGCTTTGTGAGGGCTTGAGACGACGCCCATCTGAGACAGCTCGATGGGAATCGATGGGACGATTGAGCTAGACGGATTGGGTCAGTGCAGGGTCCTGCTTCGACGTCGGCCGGGCATGGAACGTTTTCCTACGAATCTAGGCGGGTTTTATAGGAAGCGCCGACTCTGTACATCCCTGGCCCCAAACCGCAGGTGAGAACTGCAACCTACCATCCACATCCAAATCCATCAAACCCGGAACGGCAGGCTCGGCACAATCTGAGTGTCAGAGTCTTATTGTAGCCAGGCGGCTCTAAATTCTGAGCCTTTACCCTTCAACATCTTCGCTGGCTTGCCAGCCCCATTGAGATGGACCAGTCTCCAGATTCCTTTGTCAAAACGCCGTTCTAAATCACCCACGCCCTGGTCTTGAGGCAGAGGTGAAAGCAGAGTCGCGCCAGGCGTGTGCTTGCAAGCAGGCGGGGGAGGCTGTTTTGCAATACTACATCCGTCATACGAGGCGAACTGTAACTCGAGCGTGGGTTTTCCGCCTACTGTGTTGTTGAATATTGAAGTGTTGAAAAGGTTTAGATAGTGTCTGCATGGAGATCTGGGGGCGGGCTTGTGGTGTGCGATCTCGTGATCGAGGACGCTGCAGCGGAAGATGCTGTCGGCGAGGAACTGGCTGCAGATTCGCAACCAAGCGCACCGCCGGGGGAGGTTGGAATGCTTTACACAAAACTCTGACTGTGACGTGTTTACTGTTGGTGGGCAGAGCAGCAGATAGCTGCTTTCGAACTGACAAGATCGCGAGAAATAAACTGGGATGTGACATAACCTGCGCTGTCGCGACCATTCACTTTTCTTTGTTTTCTCTTGGTACCCGCAAGCAAGCCTTGAGCCAGCATGCAAAGGCAGGCAGCATCGTCGCTTAGGTCCTGCTGGGTTAGAGAATCCAGCAGTGCCCGAGTCAGGAAGCAAGAGACCCAACATGTGAGGCTTTCGACTGGAATTGTAGGGTTGCTTGCAGGGCGATGCAGCGCTTGGCGCTGGAGAGAATCAGCCTGAGCTAGCCAAAGCCGCGGATGATCTGGTCAGCCAATTAACTGCGGACGCGCTGGCCTCGCTGGAGTTCAGCGACGCCAAATCATTTCTGTCCGACACCATGCGCAGCTGGAGCACCATGCATATCTCAAGTGACATCGAGGCATTTTGCGACTGACGGCGATGTCTATCGCAGCTCGCAGCAGAAGAGCGCAAAGTTTACGGATGTGGCACTGACAACTTGCAGTTAAACGTGCAAGAGCAGACGCCTCTTATTATTCTTTGAGAATTTTTTGAAGTGAGCATGTGAATCTGCA